GGGGAATACATGTAAATCCATGGCTGATTCATGTCAATGTATGACAAAACCCACTACAATATTGTAAAGTAATTAGCCTCCAACTAATAAAAATAAATGAAAAAAAAAAAAAAGAAAATAGGTGTGTAGTTACTTTAGCTCAAAATAATGTTACAAAGGAATGGGACTCGACTCAATGTATATATAAATATGTGTGAGTTGGGACAAATGGCCATGCATGCCAATGTATGACAAAACCCACTACAATATTGTAAAGTAATTAGCCTCCAACTAATAAAAATAAATGAAAAAAAAAAAAGAAAGAAAATAGGTGTGTAGTTACTTTAGCTCAAAATAATGTTACAAAGGAATGGGACTCAATGTATATATAAATATGTGTGAGTTGGGACAAATGGCCATGCATGCCAATGTGCCAGACTTTTGATAGCCTCTTGCCTAAACATATACACAGGAAGAATCAAAATGAATATCTGAGGGTTCATTTTACTATAAACAAATTACACCTAAAGAATTCTAACTTTCAAAATGAATGAATGAATGCATGAGTGAATATATGAAAGTTAGATTGTATTACTCTGCAATACATAGTATATTATCTATTTTGGAATTTTGTAGAGTAGGAACATAAAATCAACAGCATTCTCATTTAATTTTTAAGCAAACCCTAGTCGTAAATCAAGCACTTGAGTTTCTCCAGAATAAGGACAAAATAATGCTTTCCAATACAAAATTGGTAATTTAATTGAGGCAGTGAAGAGACCAAACTTTTGAAATATCATCCAGAGTAATACCCCTTGAAGCAAAACATCTTAGCTACACTGTGGCTAAGACCATTATAAGACTAGCTTCAAGTTAAAAAGTATGCCGTGGAAGAAATCAAAAGGGGGCTTTGGCAAGATTTCCTCATCCAGAAACACTTTTGGATTTCTTATTCATGTTAGTGCCCCAAAGAGAGAAGTTGCTATTGCCTTTCTGTTGGTTGACTCTATTGATATTCAGAGTGTGAATGAGCTCTTAGGCCTTTTGCAAGGCACATATGAGGGGAAAGTGCGAGACAACATCTTGTTCTATTTAATTGCTTAATTCCCTGCCACAGGAGGAGACATTTTCCGTGTAGTTAACAGTTATTTTCTGATTCACGTGCAGGCAGCAGAAGGTGGCTGGAATCAGTAATGATGGCATTGCTCTGCAAATAAAGGAGCTCTCACCCAATGCTGGTTCACACACTGCTTGATTCAAAGGGAACTGGCAAAAACAACTCTAAGAAACAGTATTGACATTGTGCTCGAGTCAGACAATGGCAGTGTTACCCGCCAAAGTTGTGCAATGAGGCAGCCCGGGTGCTATACCAGCCATTCTTGAGTCAGAGTTGAAAGAAACGGAGAAAATTCCAAGTCCTAGCAAACCACGTCTAATGAGGATAAATCTTTTCTGGGTCTTTGTTAATTAACTGAGCAGTGAACCTCTGTTTTTTGGCACTAGTGTATGTTGGCCCTTGAGGGGGAATGTGCTCTCAAATTTTTTTTTTTCAAATGAAGGATGAGGAAAAAACAACATTTTTTCCATGACACTAAAATATCCTTTTAAAAATATCATTTCAAGTGGCTTGCTCAAGTGGACCGTCTCAACAACACAAACTCCATGTCGGTTCCAAAATGCCATCCATGTCTTTTAACGTCAAGGATTAGATAAGATATTAGGATTACTTAAGAAAAGCAAACTGGTATAAACATTTCCATTGCTGGGAATTTGATTCATTCTCGGTGCTTGATGTTTTTCTTCACTTACTGAGGATAATCTTTGATGATATATTACTGGTCATATTTTAAAACCACATCCAAATATTCCAATATACCAGAAGAAATACTTTTGAGAGTAGAAGGCAACAAAATGGATATATTAGGAATTCACTGACCAATAAAGATCTCCCAGGTTAAAAGAGGTAATTTCCAACATTTGAATGTTTTGTTGTTTCCATTTGCTAAGTTGTGTCCAACTTTTTGCAACCCCATGAACTCTAGCCTGTCGGGCTCCTCTGTCCATGGGGTTCTCCAGGCAAGAATACTGGAGTAGGTTGCCATTTCCTTTTCCAGGGGATCTTCCCAGATCAGGGATTGAACCTGTGTCTCCTGCATTGGTAGGCAAATTCTTTACCACTGAGCCACCAGGGAAGCCCCAAAATTTGAATAAGATAACCCTATTAACTAGATTATCTGAAATGACTCAATGCTTGCTGGCAGCCCTAATCATCTTCCTCTATGTTCAAACATGTAAATTAATATATGTATATTCTTTTCCTTCTCATTCTTTTTATTAGCAAAACGATGACATTTTACCATACGTTTTACTCTGCAGCTTGCTTTTTGTTACTCAAGAATTTATCATTGATAGCTCTCCAAATTGATAGGGACAAAAATTTATTTATCATATTCTAGTTTTGTAAGTTAAATAGTGAAAAGAAACCAATGGAATGTGAAACTTAACCACAGATGAAGAAAAATTACAAATGAATCCCTCTTTAATAGGAGAAAATCTTGTTACTAATTTTGAAATTTTATAGAATGACTGATCATTTAAAAATCATAACATATGTCTAAAAATTCTTTGCAATATAATTGACATACAATAAACTACAAGCATTTAAACTGTGAAGTCTGATGTACGGACATATGAAGATATCTGTGAAACCACCACGCCAATCAAGGTAATGAGCATATCTATCAGCACTGAAAGTTCTCTTGCACCCATGCCATCTCTCCCTGCAGCCACACTTGGACCCCAGCTGTAGATAAAGTTTAAGTCCACTCCAGACGTCTTATTCTGGAACCAGCAGCCATGTAACATGGACTTCTCTCCTAGTGATGGCAGAAGCCAAAGAGGCCAAGCCAAATCATGCAAGTTCGTTGACAACTTCTCCTAGTTCATGACTACTATTAATAACATTTCGTTGGCCAAATCCAGTCACATGGCAAAGCCTAACATCAAAGTGCTGGGGAATTGTACTCTGCCCACTCTAGTGGGATGTCCTGCGTAGTTATGTGGCAAAGGGTGCAGGTGTACTCTTTACCTGAGAGGAGGTAAAAGATGGCAAAGGATAACTCAGTTACAATAAATGGACAGCTGGCAAAATGGGAGTGGTGTTCAAAAGCTGGGAATTCTTATTTGGTAGCTAAAGCCCCCAGGTGTTTCCCAGCATATGCAAGCGTATTGAAGGATAAGGCCATGCTGAAACTTTAGGCTATGCCCTCTCCAGAGAGTGAGTGCAGGACAAGAGGAATGAGAAGAGCTCTCAAGAGGCTGGAGGAGGATCCAAAGGGCCAGAGAAAGTGTTGTCAGAGGTCATCTCTCAGTCAGCAAAAGGCCCTATAGAGACTTGAATGGTTCCAACCGTAGCATTTTGTGATTAATTCTCTCTACTCTCAACTTTTTACTTTCCACTCCCTTTTGGTTCTACATAATAGAACCAAACTATGTGCTGAAGTCTCTGATCTCATTTTTGAAACTCACTAGATTCCAATGTAAAATAAGTAACTAATGAGAACCTGCTGTCTAGCACAGGGAACACCACTCAATGTTCTGTGGTGACCTAAATGGGAAGGAATCCAAAAAAGAGATGTATGTATACACACAACTAATTCACTTGGCTATACAGTGGAAACTAACACAATACTGTAAAGCACCTATGCTCCGAAAAAAATTATTTATATAGTAATGAGGGCAAAATTAAGGTAATACAAAAAATTAAAAGAAGTAAAAATCACTAGATTCCTATTATAACCAAGCAAGTATTATAAAGGGGCAAATAGACTTAATTTCTGTTTCCTTTTAGGCATTTAGTGCATACACAATGAGAGATTATTTACTATTCCACAAAATCTTCCTTATACAAATATATACATATACATCTAAATTTAATGTATGTTTACTATGAAGAGTCTGAAGTATCACGTATAAATACATCGTATGGTTGGTCTCCTGGAGCAATGGATGCTCCCTCATTTTCTGTGACTCATCGTTTCATGAGCACTGGGAGGAACTGACCACAGTTGTGCAGAAGCTTCCATAATAAAACCATAACAGGCACGGCGCAAATTGCCTTTTTTAGATTTGGGGTTTCATTGCAATTGGGAATGTTGGACAAATTTCCCTGAGGCTTGGCTTGAGGAACATCTAGTTGTTCTTTGCCTAATCCTGAATCTGGAATATGGCTTTAGGTGGAAAATATGCTTTAAACTCAGTGCTAGTTGTGGTGATGGTATCTTTTTGTTGTGAATAGCAGACTCGATAGAAAATGAAGGTCAAAAAGTAATTACTGGGAGTTCCCTGGCAGTCTGGTGGCTAAAACTCTGTGCTCCCAATACAGGGGCCCTGGGTTTGATCCCTGGTCAGGAAGAACTGGTGCTGAAGCTGAAGCTCCAATACGCTGGCCACCTGATGCAAAGAGCCAGCTCATTGAAAAAGACCCTGGTGCTGGGAAAGGTTGACGGCAAGAGGAGAAGGGGGTGACAGAGGATAAGATAGTTGGATGGCATCACTGACTCAGTGGACATGAGTTTGAGCAAACAGGGAAATACTGAAGGACAGGGAAGCCTAGGGTGCTGAGGTCCATGGGGTCACAAAGAGTCAGACACAACCTAGCAACAGTGACCATAGAAACAGGTTACTAGATCCCACATGATGCAACTAAGGGTTTGAATGCCACAAGTGAAGATCTCAGCCGCTGCAAGTAGAAGACCCTGCCTGTGGCAACGAAGACCTGGCACAGACAAATTTTTTAAAAAGTGATTGTTTGTGGAATGAGCTACTGAACCTCTTGGGCATGTATTGAGAAGAGAAAGTAATATGGTAGATTTAAAATTTTCTGACATGATAGGTCAGTTCTGAATGTATGGCCTCTAATTTCCCCTGTTTAACCTACCTACATGGTTTCTATCTCCTGATTGGGTCAAAACCACTGCCCAAGGTATTTAAAGATTCACAAACCAGCCCCAGGCTTTCCCTCAGCTTCCTCTTCTCAGGTTTGATTCTTCAGGCATCCCTCCTCTCTCATCTCTGGCCTGGCTCACCCTTCCTCTTGCCCTAGTTTACTTTTGTCATTAAATCCCACCCATCCCTCACATGTCAGAAAGGCATCATTTCTTCAGAAAAATCTTTTCTAAACCTGCCAACTCTGGATTGAATGTCTTTCCCAAGTAGTCCCATAACTAACTTAGTACGGATCACTCTGTATTGGAGTTATCAGCTTACTTGTCTTTCTCCTCCTAAAATAAACTCCTGGAAGGGGCAGAATTGACATCTTTCCCTGTTACAAGCTTAGCCCCCAGGTGGGCCCAGGCACATGCACCCAGTTGATACTCATACACGTTTACTGAATGAACACCTAAATGACAAGGTATTATTTAGGGAGATCATCATCAACACAGAGGTTAGTGCACAGAACACTAGATGATTTTCAAATTTAATTTTGTTGTTTAGACGTCAGAAAAAGCTTGACGGAGAAAGCAGTATTTATACTAATCTTTCAAGGATTTTAAGGAGGCAGAGATGAGGAGTTTAGAGCAAATGGACAGAAGAAACAAATATATAGAAGAGATCTCATTTATATTCTGTACACGTGGAAAACAATCTCAGTTTTCTGGACGGGGTCAAGTGTGTGATGGGGAACCCAAATGTGGCAAAGAAGTGTCAACAAGAGACTTGGGGCCAGATCCTGAAAAGTCTCACAATATATGGAGGAAGACTGATTTTGAAAATAACCATAACTGGTTATGTGGTCCAGCAGTATCAGCAGCAACTGGGAACTTGAAGAAAGGTAAATTCTTAGCCTCCATCCCAAACTTCCTGATTTAGGAGCTTAGGTGGAGGGGAGGAGAAGAAGGCGGAGGTGGGGGTGGGTGGGTCCAGGAACCTGGATTTTCACAAGGCTTCCTGGCCATTCTGGAGAGCGCTGGGGTTTGGGAACTGCTGTAAGATATTTGGACTTCTGCTCTGAACCGAAGCCACTGTTGCTGTGTTTGTGTTGACTGTAGACTGTTTTCCCCAATCCTTCTGAGGGATGCTGTACTTTGAGGCTAGTTTGCCCAGATAAACAAAATGTGGTGCCTTCTGTTGGTTTTTGGATCATATGTCAGACATCTTCAGAGAAGTCTGATCTCAAAAATCAGCCCCAGTCCCTAATTTCTGCATTAGCCTGTCACGTCCTCTCTCCAGTGCCCCAGGTTATCAATGGACCACTCCTCTCTTCCTTACAGAGGTTGTCGGTGGGGTGTTTCCAAGAGATGAGGCCAGACTCTCTGGAATGGTTTCTGTTCATCAGGGGGTGACGTCATGGACAACCGTTTCCCAAATCTGTTTCCTGAGTGTACAATAGTTCTCATACCGATGCCCACACTGTCATTTAGGGAAATAGGTAGTCTGTCCACAGAATATACACTGAGGTCAACTCTACCCCTCCTTACCCCACCCCTGGCCCATTCCCATGAAGTCCTAACATCCAGGATTAGCTAGAGGACAGTCATATCTCTCCCATCACCGAAGTCTCTTTTAACTATCAAAACTCACTCTTTTCTCCCAGTTATAAGCACTCCTAAGATTCATCATCTTGCTTTTGCACTGCTCATCATTCTTTTAATTATTCAACATGTGTTTGGACTGTGAATTTCATAAGGTTGGGCACCATTCCTGATTTGTTCACAGCAACATCCCCATGTTTTAGAGGCAGGGCCTGGATCATGGGAAGTGCTCAAGATTTTAAAAAATTCTATGATTGAAGGAATGATGTGGTTTTATAATGCAGGTCTCAAGGATTTATCTTAGTTATGCCAAAGGCTTAGAATCATGTACACAGTAGACACTAAATAAATGATTCTCAATACCTTTACACATACTCTTTCCATCCACCTGAACTGCCCTCCTTCCTCTTCTGTACCTCCTCAAATCCTAGTCCTTCAAGATTCAAGTCAAGGTCACCATGTAAGACTCCACATGTTGTCCACTTCATGCCTCTGGGGGTGCCATTGACATAGACTGTGGTGTAAATATTCAATACAGAGCCTCCTTCTAGCTCGAATGTCTCTATGGGAAGTTTTTCTGGATATAGACTGTCATCTCCATGAGAAAGAACTTATGGTTGCCAGGAGGAAGGGATAGTTAGGGAGTTTGGGATGGACTTGTACATACTGCTATATTTTAAACGGATAACCAACAAGGACCTACTGTATAGCACGTGGAATTCTGCTCAATATTATGTGGCAGGCTGTATGGGAGGGAAGTTTGGGGGAAAATGAATACATTTATATGTATGGCTGATCCCTTTGCTGATTTTTTTCTCATTTGGCACTTAGAGCAGTGCCTGCCTCATAACAAGCAGTGTATAAACTATTTGTTGAATATACGCGAATGTCTTCCTCAGTCATGAAGAGCCATTTGTCCTCTGTATTTTATAACTTGTTCTTGCTTCTAGTTTGGTAGTTTTTTTTTATGTGGAATGATATTCATAAGTTCACTCATGATTATAACCCAGTTCTCTGTGATCCTGAACTGTATTCGTTTTTATACCAGAATGTGAGGGTTTCAGAGAGCCTGTAATTACCAGATTGAAGGCCTTGTGCCACATTTGTACACAGGTGGGTCAACTCTCTAAAGAAATTTCTGGAAATTGGGCACACCCATGTTTTACTGTAGCCTGGAAGCTTTACCTCAGGGTGTGGTACATGCAGTTTAGGCCACAAATCATGGTTTCTAAGAAGGACTGTTTGGAGAGTGAAGGCTCTGGAAACTTGAATAGGAAGCATGCATAAGCTCTAATAGAGGACAGTTATACTCAAAGACTGCCGGCCCAGCTCCAAACATTAGATGCAAGTGCCAGGTATTGCTGCTTGAATTGTATGAAAGGGTGGTGCCCCATGTTCTCAAGACATGGGGAGATGGAGGAGCTGTACCCTAAGCTTGGATGAAAAGATGCTGTATTTTCAGTAGAGCCCTCTGGGGTAAGTCATTTCATGTCTTGTGTATTTAAGGATCTCAGACAGTTCACACAGCATTATTTATTCTCTTTATACAATGTCTAGGGATCTACCCACACTTTATTGGACACACTTCACTTGACAGGACATTTATACCTAGATGTTCTATGTGTGTATGTTTAGTAGCTCAGTTATGTCTGACTTTCTGTAACCACATGGATTATAGCCTGCCAGACCTCTGTCCATGGAATTTTCCAGGCAAGAATACTGCAAGAATACTGGAGCCAGTTGTCATTTTCTACTCCAGAGGGTCTTCCCAACCCAGATATTCTATGTTGGCCTGCAAGTGATCAAGCCAGCAGCCGGTGTACAAAGCTGAAACTATCTACATTCTGGCCTTTCACAGAAAAAGTTTGCCTACCTCTGATTTAGAAGATGAAGCCTGCTCTCTCAGTAGGAGGTGTCCTGTTTAATTGCTTGTTAACTCTTCCCCTCAATAGATTAAGTTCCATGATAACAGGGAGGCATCTGTCTTACTCATTGTCAGACCCCCAGGAATTGGCCCATGCTAGGGACTTCCCAGGTGGTGCTAGTGGTAAAGAACCCACCTGTCAATGCAGGAGATGTAAGAGATGTGAATTTGACCCTCGGGTCAGGAAGATGTCCTAGAGAAGGGCATGGCAACCCATTCCAGTATTTTTGCCTGGAGAATCCCATGGAGAGAGGAACCCCATGGACAGGCTACAGTTCACGGGGTTGCAAAGAATTGGACACAACTGAAGCAACTTAACACATACAAAAGCACTTGCTAACTATTAGTCAAATTACTTAAGAACTAAATAGGTGGATACAGAACATGGGAAATGAAATATACACTTGAGGGGTACAGAGATGACCAGTCCTTTGAAATTCACATCATTTCTTTGAGACCTATACATTAATTTTTGTTGTTTAATTTTTAAAGATGAAACACCCAAGAAAAAGTTCCATGTACAGGAGATGTTTGACTATTGATTCATATGCACCAAATGACTTCTTTTTTAATTTCAGAAAAGTTGACATAGAAAAATTTAACCTGTGATAGGCAATAAAATGTATACGTAAGAGGCCCAAACACCTTTTCAAGGGCACTGTAACATCACTGAACTTATCTAGTGTTTAATTTCTAGGATTGCTATAACAAAATGCTATAGCCTGGGTGGCTTAACCAACAGAAACTTATTTTTTCACAGTTCTAGAAGCTAGAAGTTCAAGGTCAAGCTTTCAGCAGCTTTGGTTTCTTCTGCAGCCTCTTTCCTTGGTTTGTAGACAGCCGCCTCCTGCCCTGTGTCCTCATGTGGTTTCCCCTCAGTGTAAATCCCTGGTGTTTCTTTCTGTGTTCAAATTTCCTCTTCCTACAAGGACGCCAGTCATATTGGATTAGGGACCACTCTAATGACCTCTTTCTATCTTAATTACTTCTTTAAAGACCCTATCCCCAAATAGAGTCACATTCTGAGGTGCTGAGGGTTAGGACTTCAATGTATGCATTTGGGGGGACATAGTTCACCTCATTACACCTCCACACTCTATGTACTTCCTTTCTGTAAGCCCTAAGTACTTGTGAGGTGACGGTCACATCACTGACCTCCAAGGCTGATGTGACCCATCTAGCTGGTAAGGCAAGTGTCCACGTCTTCTCCACCTTTTCCATCAGAGAAATTTAAATTCCTTTTTTGGTCAAGGGCCTACTAATGACTGTTTCCCCCAATTCAAGCCTCCAGCTAAGTTTTCAAGGTCAAATTTTGCCCAGTATAGATAAATCATTTAAATACATTCAATGCCCTCAGTTCAGTTCAGTTCAGTCACTCAGTCATTTCCGACTCTTTGCAACCCCATGAATTGCAGTACGCCAGGCTTCCCTGTCCATCACCAACTCCCGGAGTTTACTGAAACCCATGCTCATCAAGTCGGTGATGCCATCCAGCCATCTCATCCTCTGTCGTCCCCTTCTCCTCCTGCCCTCAATGCTCTACATAGGTTTAAAATGGGGGGGGGGGCTCAGGGGGACCCCTTAACCTAAATATTCAACCATAGAGGGTTGGATAAACCCACTATAACAGGACCATAGTGTGAAATATGATATATTCTTAAAAATGTGAATATTTTAAAAAATATGAATATGATACATTCTTAAAAATATGGATATGATACAGTCTTAAAAAGTGGTAAGCTGAAGAATATTTAGTGACCTGGAGGGCTCTGTACAATATTGTTAAAGGGAAAAAAATGCAAGATACCAGAAAATATTCACTTATTTAACAAACATGTGTTGAGCACCTCTTATGGGCAGGCATTCTTCCAGGCTGTGGAAACTCAGTAGTGAATAAAACAATGTTCTTCCTTTGGATACTCCGATGACTATCTCCCTTGTCTTCTTCAGTTTACTGCTCAAGTGTCACCTTCTCCAAGAAGACTTCCTGATCCCACAAACTGTTTTCTTGGAGTTTCAGTTGCAATGGAAGGCACCCATAGTAAACCAACTACTCTATAATAGGACCTCAGGTCTTGTAGTACGTTGAAGGAGAATAAAGCAGAACATGGGAATAGAAAAATGCCAAAGTGAAGCAATTATTTCAGCCTGTGTGGTCAAGAAGTCTTCTTGGAGGAGATGACTTTCGAGCAGTGAACTGAAGAAAGTGAGGGAGTGAGTCACTGGAGTTTCAGAGGAAGAACATTCCATGGAGAAAGAACAGTAAGTATAAAGGCCATGAGGTACAGATGTGCCTGGAGTATTTGGAGACTCTCAAGGAATGGCAGTGTGGCTTGAGTGGAATAAAACAATGGCTTTTATACCTTTTTTTTTTTT